AAAAAAAGCGATTCTATATTACTAGTCTTGCAAGTGCGGATAGGTAAATTTCTGCGAATGATTAAAGCAAGATGGTATAACGAAAATCTCAAATATTAGCCATACCGCGGTGGAGCCGAAAAAAACTGGATGTTGGTATTGCAATGCATGATGGGAATGGTATAGTGGACATATTTTAAGATGGCGTCCATTTTGTTCCCGAACACAGTCTCCCAACGAACTGCAATCCCAACTCGACACAATAGCCCTTTTGAAACAACAGGTCACCTGACCCTACCCCCCCGTAAAAAAGAAACGTTTGTGTCAAAATGACCATCAGATATGGAAAAAACAGCTCGATTTTAGTAAAAGGCAGAGTTTCAGCTTATGACATGGAATACAGGAAAAATGGCATTAAATTCTACATCGAATGTTTTATAAAGATTTGTATAGGAAAATGTGCTGGATGACAAGCTTTGCCATCCAGCACATTTTTGAATATAAATCCTTGTAAAATATTCATTTCTCCTATAGTCAACATTATAAACTAACACTTTGCCTTCTTACTAATACTGAGGTGCTCTTTCCATTTCYGATGTTCATTTTGACACAATTATCTTTTTACGTGGGGTAGTGTCACGTGACCTGTTGTTGCAAAAGCCCTATTTCCCCTCAACTAGGAATGTCTAATGAAGTGGCAAGTTCGTGCGTTTTAGCGACAAAGTCTAGAGTCCTCAAGAAATTAGTCAACATAAGTAAACTAAAGGACAATTTAATAAATTTTTTTAAATTTTAAATTTTTTTTAAAACAATTTTCTTATCCCACCGCGAAACATACACTTTCTCAAACGTTTTAAATTCTTTTGAAAATAATAACTTTGGATAGAAAGTCTATTTTTATCATCATCATCATCATCATTACATCATCATCATCACCATCATCATCATCATCACCATCATCATCATTACATCAAAAGTCTATTTTTATTTTTTATTTTTTTAATATTTAATTTTCTATTTTAGTTTGTAATTCTTTGAATTTAAATTTTTAATTTTTAATTAATTAATCTATTTATTTTTTAGCTATTTTTTCCCCTCAAAAGTGACGTGGCTAATTATTATACTGATATGCTCTTTCATAGAGAATTGAGTTCTAATCGCCTGACGGCTTTGCCTGTTGCAATCTTTGCTAACAACGTAAACCTTACTGAATTGTAAGTTTTTTTAGATGATTAAAAAACTATGTTTTTGTAAGTTTGACCAAGTATTGATGCTGGTGATTAAGGCACCTGGGTGTAGCACGCGCCCTCCGATGGCGCGAAATTTAGATTCCACAGGGAACCCATCAACAAATTRTTTAGTGACAATGGAGGTTTTCGTTATTATATGTCTTGTCAACATGGAAAAACAAAAACATTTATCAAACATTTTAACTTCAAGACTAATAAAACAAAAAATAGAAAACCTACGATGTAATTTACCATGACTTACTATAACATATACTTTGTCAATAGAAAAGTAAATTCGAATCAGCTGACGACTTTGCCCGTTGCAGYCTTTGCTTACAACAAAAATCTTATGAAATTGTGAGTTAAAAAATTCAATTTATTATTAGATAGGTCTTGCAAGTGCAAATAACAATGTTGCTACTAATACGTAAAGCCAGATGGTGTAGGGAAAGTCAAACCGAGGTTAATCCGAAAAAAAATTGGATCGCGTGGTAATACAATGCATGATGGCAATGGTTTAGGGGACATATTTTGAAGATGGCATCCATCTTGGTGCCCTGAAACAGTCCCACAGCGAACTGTATGCCAACTCGACCCAATAGACCTATCACGAATTCGCTTGACTGACCACGAAACAATGGTTTGAAATCGAGGTTGAACTTGATGAATAAAAGAATCAAGTTCAGTCTCGACTTCAAACCATTGTTTCGTGGTCAGTCAAGCGAATTCGGGATAGGTCTATTCCCCTCCAATCTCGGAATGGCTAAGTGCTAAGTGAAGGGGCAAGTGCGTGCGTTTGTGTGCGAAAGCCTCGAGTCACAAGAACTCGTGGGCATAAGTAAACTAAAGGACGATTTAGTCGTAAAGAAATTAAATATTTTCTCATCCCATAAAGAAATATACAGTTTATTCTCAAACGCTATGCCTTCTTTTGGCAATAATAGTGTGTAAATAGAAAAAATATTTATATCTATATTTATATGTTCTCTCAATAGAGGATTGAATGATAATCAGCTGACGGATTTGCCTAGTGCAATCTTTGCTAACAACATAAAACTTACTGAATTGTAAGTTTTTAGAAGATAACAAAACTTTGATTCTTGTTTATATTTAATCAAGTATTTGATGCTAATGATTGACCTGGGCCGGTGTAGCGAGAACAGTACTTGTTTTGAACTTCAAGAGGATTAAAAAAAATTAAAAATAAATAAAAATAAAAACTGAAAAAAAAAAAAAAAAAAAAAAAAAAAAAAAAATAAATTAAAATGTTATTTAAAATGTCAACTTTTTTTTGTGGTGCAGCTAAACAAATTTATCCTGCAAAGTAGTATAGCCCAGTGCTCTTTATCCTTAAAGTGTATATCAAGGGAAAAAAATTCAAAATCACTTTTATGTGAACAGTGTAGTAGTATGGTTGCAGTACTTTTGTATGTTGTCTTCTCTTTTCAGAGATAACATTTGAACTATCAAAATGCAAATGAGATGACGTAAATTCCAGAATGTATTACATTTTGCAATGTTATTTACAAGTGTTCTGAAGTTAAATAACCTAAAAGTGTACAAAACCATAAATTTCAATTATAAGGATGATTTACAAATGAAAAAAGCATTTTCGTATACTATGTAAATTAGTCTTGAATTTACGTCATCTCATTTGCATATTGATATTTTAAATGTTTATATCTCTGAAAAGAGAGGTCCACATACAAAAATACTGTAACCATACTACTACACTGTTCACATATAAATGATTTTGAATTTTTTTTTCCTTTTAAAAAAAACTCTTTGAAGACGTCCATTTTTCGCTCACTTTGGGGTAAAGTTATTAAAATAAGATCTAAAATAACCAATTTAGATTTGGCTATTGTATCACAGCGTGGGACAACCACAACAGAGCTAGGCTCCAGCTAGCTGAAAATCCAATTATCGAATTAGAATTTATAAGAGGATTTTATGAAGAGGGAAGCTGAAGGAGGAATACCGGAGGATCCAGAGAAAATCCCTCGAAGCTCCGAAGAGAACTGTAGCACCAGATATGGTCAAAGCATCGTATTCATTTCCACCATCTTACATGCATTCTCTGTACATAACACAGGCAACCCAAACCATGGGAAGCCTAATACATTAAAAGAACCAAAAAACACACAAACAAACCACTCCACAGGTGCTTCCCAAAAAGAAAAAAAGAACAATCAACAATTATTCGGCGAAGGAGAAGTAAATATCGGTTTATATTAACCGAGACACGAGTCTCGATATTCCGCGCCGGATTTCATACATTCACTTGTGTAAAAATACTAAAACGAGATATGTCGCGCGCGCAGCAAATTGGCTTGTTACCGTGATTATATCAGAGACACATTAAARTGTTTTTAGCTCTTCAGAAAGACGTCAGCATGTAAACTGCCTACTATGCCGGGGTCTTAAGGGGTTCTGCTGGAATGTTTTTTAATCAATCGCTTCTTAGGCACTATCTTTTTCTACTTACTRAATTAAAACAACTGATTAAGTTCTCAACACGTTGTTTCAGGGACCTCAAATGGAACAAACTAAGACATCTACCACAAAAATTGTTTTTTCATAACCGAGAGCTAAAATACCTGTAAGTTCAACTTGTTATTGTGTGACCAATGATTAAGCGACTTTGACATGGGAAATCAAGGGTAATGTAGATGTACTACACTCGGCTATCACCTCAGGGGTCTCACGTTTCATTTCTGGAATCGCAAACTCATGAGAAGAGAGTTTCTTCAGTAGAGTTGGTTTGATGAGGGTTTTTCTCAGCTTCTGTGGTAATTTTCTCCTTCCACAAAATTTTAATTCTAATTAGCCTTGTTCATGCCCTGAACATGTCTCACGTAAATTGTTTTCTTGTGTGCATGCCCTGATTTTGATCAGCCCAGGGGCTGGTTCAAGGCTTTTTTTCTTGCTAACTATCTGGCTTTAGACTTCTTCAGAATAACAGAATAACAAACTTGCAACAAGGATTGTTTGGTAATAATCTGAAGCTCCAGGGGATGTAAGTATCATCATCATCATCATCATCATCATCATTATTATTATTATTCGAAAATAGTTAATACAGTATCTTCTCTGCTTTTGTTTCAATTGGTACTCATATATAGTCTGAAGTTCCAAATTTATTTTTATCTTAACTTTTACAGGAGTATTGTAGGTAATTTGCTAGCAGAACTACCAGAAGACCTACTTCATGGATTGAAAAATCTAAAAGTCTTGTAAGTACATCTGTAAAAATCCCTCACTCAACACACTCTTTTAAAAGCCTGAACACGATTATTTGGACTTTTCTTTCCCTTTAGTGCTGCCGATTATAACGGGCTAAAACACATCCCCGATGGATTCTTTAAGGATACTAGACAACTTGAAACTCTGTAAGCTAATAAAAAAAGACTTATATTGGAGTCCAAAGTCATAAATATATATATTCTTGTCGTCATTACGTTGCAGGGCTTTAGTGAATAACAGGTTGCCTTCAATAAAACTATCTCATCTTAAGCGATTAAATTATCTGTAAGTCAATGTTGTGGACTGCGACGTATACGTAGACTTCCCTTAAGGTGGCTGGACCCCCTCGCGCTTGACCGCTACCTCCCACGGTTGGAACGCTGGTGCATAAACGTGTTTTATCCGATTGCAATTCTTTTTTGCACATAAGTCACATAAAGATTAAATTAATGTTTGATGTAGTTTTTTACGAGATCGGACGTCATAACATGTGATTATGATGAAATATTTGTTTTCGTTTAGAGGGCAATTTTAGCCTTGCAGAGCGTTCAACACTAAAACGCTTCGTACCACATAATTATATACTAGATGCCTCCATTTATAGGGATTTTTGAAAAAATCTATCTAGCTAATTATGAGAAATTTGAGATTTATTTAAATATAGTGCATAATCTACTTCAAAACTAAACAATGGATTTGATACGGCCGAAATTAATATTTCAGAGGTATATATTCACAAAAGTCATTGCTCATTTAGTTTTACTCTGTATCTAGTTTTAAAAGGAACATTTTGAAGGTAATCGACTTATGCGATTTTGTGAAAACGTATAATGCATAAGACGGGGGTAAACATTTGATGCGCACTTTTCATTGCAGTTTTCTAGTCAATCTTACTAGATCTTCCATTATTCTAATATTCGCTGATAATTTCTCTCAAAACTACGTCAGGATACAAATTAGAACTCAAACTAATATTACACAAAATTGCAAGACTATTGAACTCATTTAAAGCGATCTAAAGCGAACTGCAACTTTATTACAACTTTATTATATCCATTTCGAAATCTTTTTTGAAAAGGACGTTTTTTCCAGTTAAACCGATATGACTTACAATCTACAAGCAGTCGATTCAAACATGCTGTCAAGAGAACTTGTTGATCGAGCAATGATTCTCATTTTGAAAACCAACACTTTCAATCCAAAACTAAAATGAATTTATAAAAGACCAAAAGGTATTACATATATTAAGAATCGCTTACTTACATTAAATAACAAGACAATCCTGCCCAAAAGGGTTGTAATGACTGGATGCTCACTGCTTGTATTTTACGATTTCTGTTCAACATGTTAAGATCACACTTGTGCCGAGAAAACAAGAAAAATCAAAGGTTGTTTAGTCCTTCGGTTGTCACGTAGCTCAGCAAAAATCTTCTTCTTAAGAAAGACTTCTTTTAATGACTGTATTTTTGATGTGTTTTATGCTTTAAAGATTGAAAAGGAAACCACTTTCCACGATCAATCGCCAAGAAGTCACATTCAAAAGATGCCGATTGCATTTTCCCACACTGCTTTTCGCTGTAATATCTTCAACTTACTAAAGCAGTTACTTTACAAAGATGCTTTTGACAATTTTAAGTGTTCAGTTGGTCTTTTTAAGTCTTTTTTTATGGCTTTTTCGGTCTTTTTTACGACTTTTTACGGTTGAAATCGTTATTCAGAAAATTCTTTTTGAGCCGTGGCTCTTTTTTTCGCAAGAAACGGCGAGCTCAACACTCAAATGGATTCCTTAATATAATTGGCTAGAAAATGACATGTCTCTCTCGTGATTATTTCATGTCAGATGATGTGCAAAATCGTGCAATTTAGAGCTCAAAATCGTGCAATTTAGGCTGAAATCACTGCTGCAGGGAACCAATCAGATTGCAGGATTTGGTAGTGATTTCAAAATGGATGTAATAAAGAGTAAAACTAAATGAGCAATGACTTTTGTGAATATATACCTCTGAAATATTAATTTCGGCCGTATCAAATCCATTGTTTAGTTTTGAAGTAGATTATGCACTATATTTAAATAATCTCAAATATCTCATAATTAGCTAGATAGATTTTTTCAAAAACCCCTATAAATGGAGGCATCTAGTATATAATTATGTGGTACGAAGCGTTTTAGTGTTGAACGCTCTGCAAGCCACCTAAATTCCCTATCCATTATCATGATCATGCAAGTGGTCTGTGACGTGGACTTGGCAACCGGCAACTAAGCTAAAGTGTTGCTAGCAGTATAAAAGTAGTTAAGTGTTGCTATTTCCCGCCACTTGCATTTTTCTCTGATTATATTCCCAAATTTCATTTTTAGCTTGAGCATTTTTCCCAATATGTTTGACTATGCAGTCGCCTGTCGTTATTGCAAACACCCTTCGAGACCGTTATTTGGTGTCCGTTATTCCGTAATAACGAGATTTCGCAATATATAGTTAGAGCTGAATTACTGTGATTCCTTTGTATATTCGCTGGGGGTTTTGGCCCATCAAGGTGTCCGTATTATCGGTATATCCGCAAGGCGAGAGTCGACTGTACTTGGGTACGTTTTCTTTTTGAATAGATCCCAAAAAAACAGTTTTTTCGTACATTCCTTTCAACAGATTACTTAATCAAAACAGCTTAACATCGGCGACTCTTACTCGTAAACTACTGAATAACATGGTGCGGCTTAGAGCTCTGTAAGTAATCCCCGAAATGTATCTCGATTAGTTTCTGAAAATTTTGCGATCCGTAGGCCCTCTCGAAAAATATATTATATGTAGTGCTTATGTCATTGTGCCTTGGGGAGGGGAGGGAGGGGTGGGGGAGGAGGAGGGAGGGGAAGGTAAAGCTATATAAAAAGGTACGGTGGCCCAAAAGGGTCAAACACAAATAATTTATTTGGAACACAAAACAATATCCTTGTAACACAGAACAATATTCTGAAACACGAAACAGCTACAGCTGACGAGGTGTTGCAAAAGGTTTCCCCAGTCTTTCTCTGTCAAATATTTCTTGCCTCTCACTTGTGTTTTGAGCTCTGGGTCGTGCTTTGGTTTAAATATTTGTTGCGAATTCCAGAAAATTGTTTCGTGTTTTGGTTAATCGTGTTGTGTTTCAGAATATACTGAATCCCTAAACTTTGACAATTTAGCGATATATATAGATATGTATGTATCCCCCTTTTACTTTGTTTTCTTCCCTTCAATGAAAGACAATTAAAGAAAAAAAAAGGAAGGGGGGAGGGGGGGGTGATAACATAAAAATAAATAAATAAATAATCATCAGAAAAAAATCTGTTAACATTTGGTCAGCTACGATTTCAAGCTCACGCCCCCTCATGTGAGCCCATACAAATTATGTCTCAAAAACACGGTTTTTGGATCTTTTCTCAAAATAATGACTATCTAGGCAAAAAACAGAAGTGGATTCAGCTAATTCAACTATTCACGGACTGAATTATATGGTTTAGATTGAATTCTATTGAAAAAAACCACCGTACTTTTTGAGTTGAATGTACGCTATTGGACGTATTTTACAAGAGAAAATGCATGACATAGCCGAGGTCAACTAGAAAATCGTCTCTCCTTGAAATAAAACAGAACCTGTCAAATAAAGCAGAAGTGGATTTGAAAACCCCGGGCTTTCCTGAACATTTTGGTATATAATTCATAGGAATTTGTTAAAATTTAGAACCCTATTTTTGCTGATTTTATAAGCTCATACTATCTGTTGGCCTATACATTCGTCTCTTATGGTTTCTTATGTTTCGTAGCCTCGAAAACACGCTAACTACAGTAGTTCGCGAAGAACTGAAGATTTACAGGGTCATTTAGGATGTTTTGTCACGCAGTTTACTTGTGCTATATAACTTTACTTTTAAGAACAACCTTTTGCTTTGGAAAGAGAGGAAAAAGACCGAAAAGAGCAAATATTCCAAATATATATGGGCATTTTTTTCCAGTGACTAATTGTGGGCCCTGAAACGAAACTGAAATGGGCAAACCAGTTGGCTATTAACAAGCATGGTCGAGAAACTGAATTTGAACTAATCAGAAACCAGGACAAATACAGTCTCAGCTAGTGGCCACAGCGGGACTCAGCACCACCGGATTGCGAGACCGACGCTATGACCCCTCGACCATGCTGTATTGAAGAAATAGAAAACTCGCGCGCGTGCTGTGTGTAGTTATAAAACACGCGGGGGTTGGCAGAACACAAGAGAAGTGTTCGGAGTGCTTCTCGACACTTCTCGAGTGTTCTGTCACTCCCCAAGTGCTTTATRACTCCACACAGYAGAGCAAGCAAGTTTTTTATTTCTTTTATAAAATACAAATTACAGGAATGACGAAATTGATAGTGCGCGCGCGTGCTGGGTGCTCTCATAAAGCACGCGTATCCAACCAATCAGAACGCGAGATTCATAACAGTTATTTCATAAATGTATATATATCGCTAAATTGTTAAAGTTATATATTTGTATATCATACCCTTTATATATATATGTTATATATATCATACCCTTTGTTGCTTATTTAGCTTGGTGTCGTACAATGATATAAAGAACATCGAAGACTATTCTTTCAAAAACTGCCAGTATCTGTTGTACATGTAAGTATCTATGCAGCAGCTGCTTTCACATGAATTTTGTATAGGTAGATGACTTGTCTCTAATGGCTCGCGTTATATTCCTAAACTTGGCTTCAAGCGGGGTTGTAAGGGACTGCGCAATAATTATCGGGAGGGGGGGGGGTTCTAAAATTCTCCAAATTGGGCTTAAATTAAAGCTAACCCCCCCTGTGCTAAACGTAAAATAACTTCTCACCCCTCCCCCTTTTGAAATGAAATAACTATCAACCCCCCTCCCCCCCATACATCACGATACATCGCGACAGTGCAAATATTGTGAGATGCAAAAATGAGGCCATTGAAATACTACAAAAGTGTGAACAAATATCATGATGATAGCTTGTTTTCTAAAAGAAGTCGGAAACTCCAAACTGTACTGAGCTGTCATCATAAATTCAACTCAGTAACACTGCACTTTATTACTACTGGTATTGAAAGAAACATTAGAGATTTGTTGGATAACATGGATAAAGCTAGGGAAAAGTTCTATGTTACCTATATGATTGAATCGAAACAGAATTCATCAGTTTCACGGAAGAAAAAAGAAAATAAAAAAAAGCTGATAAACGCAAATTTTCGGCAACAGAACATACCTAGGGAGAAAAGGGCATGTGTTATATTTAATTCCTTAGGAGGAAAWCCTTCAGCAAAAGAATACAGCCCTGAGATATATGGCATCCGACAACTTGACAAAATTGATGACGACACTCTACTAATATTTACGATCTCAAACTGACAAATCCTGCCTGAGGGATCTTCTTTCTTCGAAATGTTTTGTTGGGGAACTGAAGCCAAGGAGCTTGTTCAGAACTTCTGTTTTTATCCTTGAACATAGCACTAAATATCATAAACATAAAGCTAGAAGAATTATTACAAAGCAAAACAAAAAAGACATGACATAGTCAGTTGTCTTATACTGTATACAGTCAATCAATGTGGCATAGCTTTACCACAGTACAGTATAGAAAGTTGTGACTTGTAACTGTTTTTAGTTACTGTTTTTTGTCACTGTTCTTATTACAAAGGATACTCAGTTTACACATTATATTTCAACACATATGGTTTTGAGGTTGCACCTGTGACAAGTTGTGTCCTTTATACAGTAAAAAATATAACAATGGATGTTATATGCATCTTTTCTATTTTATAGTGAACAAAATCCCAAATTGACTTATGACCTCCCTCTCCATACTTAAGCAATTAGCTTCTAACCCCCCCCCCCCCTACACTCCAATTTAACTTTTGACCCCTCCTATTAATTTTAGAGGCCCCCCTCCCGATAATTATTGCACAGTCCCTAAGTTTTCGAAAAATAAATTCAGTTTACATTCCGCATTTTTCACCAATGAAAGCAGATGAAAACTGTTAAAATCGAAGCTTAGAATCTAGCAAGCTTTAGTTCTTAAGCTTCGAAGAATAGTTAAGGCTTTTAAAAATAGAAATAAATAATAATAATAATGAAGAATTAGTACAGGAAAATTAGTTTTTTAACTGATACATTARTTTTTTGTTTAGCAGGACAATCTCTAGTTAATTTTCTTTCTGGTGCTACCGAAGCATTTATTTGTTATTTTCATTGTGGTAAAAATACGCATAACATAAAACTCTTTTTATGTAAAAGCAAACATCGTTGTCTAAAACATAAGCTCATAACTCTTATTTTGCTCACAATTTTTACCAGTTTTCAAGTCTAGGGGGTGGGGGGGTGGGGGCTGGTGGTGCGTTGTGCACATGTGACAGTGCACATGTGAAGTATGGGGAACAGAGGTCTCAAAAGATGACCCTAGTGAATCCGTACATGTAAAATTCTGCAAAATGTTGCTTGGGGTCGGAAAATATGCAACCGATTCTGCCTGTCTGGCTGAACTAGGTCGACTCCCTTTGCGCATATAGCAGCATATTCAAGAAGTATAAAATACTGGCTTTATATCTAGTCAAGCTTTCATTAAAYCATAAAATCCTTCACTTCCCCGATATTTCAAGAAATAAGAAATTCCAGCCGCAAATCCTGCTGGAGTCAAAAAGTAAAAAATCTATTATTACGAAGGGGGTTGGGCAACATATGGGTAGAGGAAAACTTTTGCAATCCTGCCCGACCCAATCCCTTCGTTGCAATTAAAACAAAGTTAGAAAGAAGACATAGAGAAACAACATTGGCTCGGTGAACTCTTTAATGATGAAATAGCCACTCCTGGCCAAAAGAATAAATTAAGAACCTATCGCCTATTCAAAGTCAATTACTCATTAGACAATTAGAGGGATACTTGACAAAGGTAAAACATTTAAAACATAGAAAAACCCTAACTAGGCTAAGCATTTTAAACTAGACTTTGTATCAAAGTATGYCGATCTATTAAGGGGGTCTCAAGCAGGCACGTGATTTTGTTAACCTAGAAAAATTAAATGTAATGTACAATGCATAAGTCCAGCCTGCTTTTGACTACTGTGATATAAGCCTGAAGCGAGATGACGTTTTACCCCCGACTCTATACCATAATAGTTTTTAAAGTTCTTTCATATTAAAATTTTCGATTCCTTAGAGAATACAGGAACAATAGTCATAGTTAAAGAACAAAAGCAATGTGAAAAGGATTATGGTCTAGAGACGCGGGTAAAACGTCATCTCGCTTCAGGCTTATTGTATGGGGGAACCTAAACAAAGAGTCTCGCCACAAAGATTCAAAAATTGCAAAATCGTGCTGCTCGTATCATAACACACTAAGGTTATCATAATCGTTCAACCGATTTTTTGCATCAGCTAAACTGGCTCTCAACTGGTATTCAATGATCCAGGATATCTTAGAGAGCTCTTTTTTAAGCGTTAGATCATAACCCATACAGTTGTCACCTTTAACAATCTTTAGGATAAACAAAGATTTTCTAGGCTGATTTTTTTGTTGTCTTTTTTGTTTAAGTATATTCCACAACAACGGACTGACAAAAATTAAATCATGGCGAACCTTTTATAGAGCTTCTAATCTCAAGGTTCTGTGAGTAAATACAAAATAAATAAACAAATAAATGAAAACGTACTTGTGAAGGTAAGCCTTGTTGTGTTAGCTCTAGCAATAAGTACTGTGCTTTGAGGAATGGCAGAGAAGCTGTGCCAATAAATTTTCAACAATAATAGGCCCTTTGATGATTTAATGATTTATGAATTATATTGCGACCTTTCTATGAAGATATAATCAAAGGCGCTTTATATTGAGTGTGAATGTCAGATTGCTTKTATGCCATTTACAAACATGAAATGCTTAGTATGAGGTGTAGGCACTGAGGGTGGTCACTGCCAGTGTTCTCAATGGTTGTTTTTCGTACCTCCGATGTTCGTTAGAATGATTAAGTGTGGAGAGACGGGACCGCCATTTAAAGTAGTCATCCCGGCCTTTGCAGGACACTAATATTAGTTTTATTTCTGTCAGAACTCTTTCAGATAATCCAATAGAATACATTGCAGAATACGCTTTCTACTTTAATCCATCTCTGGAAAGTTTGTAAGCTATTGTTTTTACAACTATATTTTATTATAAGAACTGATGTACTTTATGAAGTTTATACTACCACCATACCGCTACCGCTCATGTGCACTGTAAATGATCTAACAGGTATTTGGCGCAAACCAAGATCAAAAGTGTCAGCACGCTGTGGTTTCATAAGTCATCATACATAAAGGCAACAGCGATATACATGTAAGCATCATCAAATCACTGGTCTACTTTAAGATTCTCATTATATTGCTTCCAATCTACGCTAACATATTTCCAGTGACTCATTTAGACTAGCATTCAGGCCAACTCGCTCAAAATTGTTGAAGCTAGAAATTCGAATTGTTCAAACAATGGGCTTTTATTGCGAGGGGCATCTGGCGTCGTATGAGTCTAAGGGTTAAACAAAAAGTCATAGATTAGATGGATATATATATATATTTTGCTCAAGGAAAACTCTTCAAACCAGGGCATTAATTAGCGGATACAAATTTTACCTCCCAGTTTCAGTGCAAACAGAACTCTTAATCAGGACCCAGGATTTTTGTAATGAACGATGGTCCTGAAAGACTTATTTAAGAAAGCCATGACTGGACCTAAGTATRAGGGGAGGTGAAAAATAGGTTTGAACAAAGCTAGTGACACTATATAAACTGCTACATGAGACTCACTAGAGAAAGTAAGTCATACATAGATTGAGGCTAGTGTGTTTAGTTACGTGACCCAATCCCGCCCCCCCCCCCC